TGGGGCGGCGCCGCCGCGTGTAGGCCGGGGCCGGGGCCGGGGCCGAGGCCGGGGCCGGGGAGGCCGGGCCGGGCCGCGGCGGGTGGAAGGCCTCGCCGTGCGGGACGTGGAGGTCCACGAGCGCCAGGGCGGCGGCGGCCGAGACGGCCAGGGCGGCGAAGGGGGCTACAAGATGGCGGACCTGGAGGCCGTGCTGGCCGACGTGAGCTACCTGATGGCCATGGAGAAGAGCAAGGCCACGCCGGCGGCGCGGGCCAGCAAGAAGATCCTGCTGCCCGAGCCCAGGTGAGAGGCCGGGGCCGCGGGGGCGCGCCCCGAAACGGACCCCGGGGGAAGCCCCCCTGAAACTGACCCTGCCCTAAACCCACCCTAAAACGACCCTGAAGCTGGCCCTGCCCCAAACTGACGCTGAAACTGGCCCTTCCTGAAATTGACTCTGTCTGAAACTGACTCTGTCTGAAATTGACTCTGTCTGAAATTGACTCTGTCTGAAATTGACTCTGTCTGAAATTGACCCTGAAACTTCCCCCAGCCTGAAACTGAGCCTAAGCTTGATCCCAGCCCCTAGGCTCAAGACTGACCCTGACCCTAAACTCGGGACAGCCCTTTCTCCTCTCCTCCTCTCTCCCTCCATCCCTGACCGTCACCCTGAGCACCCCAGTGGCCTCAGCCCCCACACTGGTTTCCTTCACCGGTCCTCTGTCAGCCCTTTCTTCTTCTTCATGCCGGCCACCACATAACTGTCCATTCTGCGCTGCCCACAGGCAGTCCGTGCTGGCTGTCAGGCCTCATCCTTCACTCCTCACACCTCCCCCGCGTCCGCTTCAAACTTCTCATTGCCTAGCAATCCCCATCCATTCTCAGCCCTTTATTTCACCCCATAGACTCACCTAACCCCCCACCCTTCCCTACAAGCCCCTTACAAATCCGGCTCCTTACCTCTCATCCCCTCCCACACACGTCTCACCTGCAACCTCCCCACAAGTGCTCACTCTATCTGCTACTCACCCTTCTTTCTCCTCCTCTACTATAACTGTGTGATTTCTCCTCCTTCGACCTCCCTCTTTAACCTACTCTCTACCCTTTTACTATCAGTTATAAGCATTTATTAAGTACTTACTCGGTGTTTGGCATTGTGATAAACATTGGTAATACAAAGACAAAAATAGAACCAATTCCTGCCCTCAAGGAGCTTACATTCTAATCAGGAGACAATTTCCTATTGGCAAGGCCCTGAACCTGTTTACTTTTCCTCGCCCTCCTCAATAATACCAACTCACATCATTGACTAGGATTTTTTCCTAATTCCTGCCTCTCCCTCCCTTTGGCCAATGATGGCATTTAAGCCAGTGCCTGTCCTGAGGCATAACATTAAGGGGAGAAGGCACGCTTTCAGTGGCCTCTTGGGGTAATTTCTGCCATACCCTTAGAGTTGGGTTTGAGGAATCTCTGTCTTTCCCCCAGAGGTGAAAGCCCAACAAAGGGGGGTCTGTAAGGGATGGGATGAGGGGATGGATGTGGTCAATGTAAACAGCATTGTTGTCTCCTGTACCCCCAGGCTGCTGGAGGGAGAACCCCTTCCACTCAGGTGCCAGCAGGCAGTGTATGAATGCATTAGTGTGGACCCAGATGCCATCTGTTTGTTGCACTTGGGAGAAACACTCGTGACGTCAGGCCTTCCCGTACACCTCTCTTGGCCTGGCTCCCCAGGGGTACCTGGAAGGGCCGGAGGCCTGCCTCGCCCTCTCTCCTGGGCCATGTTTACAGTAGAACAGCTATTGCCTGATGATTCCATGTAGCAGCTGGGACATGGGTGCCCGAGGGGTGGCAGGTCCCTGCTATCATTTGTAAACTGGCCTGGCCCTTGAGAGCCCATCCCAGATAATGGGGTGTCAGGCCCAGCAGGTTCCCTGGAAGCGTGGTGTGTTCCTGGGTCAGGATTCTGAGGCATGAGCTCACTCTGGGTGTGACTGTGTTTCGCCTGGACCCTTGAGCGGGCCGGCTGGGTCAAAGGGAGAGTGCTGGGTACGAGAATCGGCCAGTGATGAGCAATAAGCCCCCGAGGCTGGCCTGGGGTGCCCATAAGTGTGCTGGGGCGTGCTCTCCTCTGCTCACAGGCATCTCCAGTCACTGGGTTTCAGATTGACTGAGCATGAGGGACCGGAGAGGGGAATTTGCCCTCCCTTGGGGGCCCCTTTCTTTTCTGACTCTGGTGATCAGATTTCTCAAAACAGGAACTGGGGCTTACTGTGAGCACGGGGCGGCCCAGGGAACAAGGACAAGATGGGGCCCAGCAAGTTCAGACGTTGCCAAGCTGGGGACATAGCTGTCACTGAGAGCTCTGGGATCTGATGGGATTCTGCTCCGGCGTCAGGGGCGTGGGGGGCCGTTCACTCGCCTCTAGCTTCCCCTCTCCTGCGTGGCCTTGGGCAGGTCACTTCCTTTAACTGCGCCTCAGTGAATGAGTGGGGACTTGATCGTCCTTCAGGTCCCAGCTTTAAAGTCATGCTCCTGTTCTTCTCTTCATTGAGATGATTGAGACAGGACGGGGAAGGGAGCGGTGGAGGCAGGGGGGAGGTTAGCCTTGAGGGCCTTTGAGACCCCGTCCTGCTCTGCGTCTGGGGTCCTGGGACATGAACAGCCATGTGAGAGCGACAGGAGTACTTTGGGAAATGCTTGTCAATTGTCTTGTGCCTGTTTTACAGGTGAGAAAAACTGAGGCTTGGGAGCAAGGCCCCACCCACGACCACACAGGCAGTGGCAGAGCCCCAGTCTCTTGCCCTTCCAGGGTTCAGGATCCTTTCCCTCAGACACTGTGGCCCCCCTGTACCTGGCAGGTGGAGTTGTGCCCCTCTCCCTGTCCTGGGCCTGCCCTGAAACAGGGGAGTGAATGATGGAATCCTTCCCCCCTTCTTGGCATGGGTAGGGGCAAAGGGAGAGAGGCCCAGCAGCCAAGCTGCATTCTCCCTCGTCACTGCCTGAAGCACCTTAGGCTCACACCTGTGTAGTAGGCGGGTACAAAATGCTGGACACATGGGCAGAAAGGCAGCTGGAGGAGGTGGGGTCATGGATCCAGAGAGGTGCCTTCGGGAGGCAGAGGGAAAGGCCACAGGAAGGAGCTCTGATCTCCATCCATTCCTGTCTGGTGGGGACTGAGGGAATAGCTCAGCTCAGGGCGCAGCCTGGAGTGCCAGGGGCCTGGCAGAGCACCCTCTCGGTCACCTCTCCTGGACTCTGGTCCTCTTCGTCAGCAGCCTCAGCTCTCTGATTCTTGTCAGTGGCCCCCTAAGTAGACCCACGGCTCTGGAACCGAGAAGACCTGGGCTTGCTGCCCCGTCCCTTCCCTTCCCCGCTCATGCCGTTGGCCACGACGGGCTTCCCTGGCTTTCCTCCGTCTCGGGCACTTCCCGGTCTCTCCTCCCATTTATTTCCTCCTCCTGACCTTTTCTGTATTTCCTGTCCCTGTCTTCCCTCAGTGGCTTCTCTCCTGTTAACTCTTCACTGCCTCCCCAGCTTCTGCCTCTTCCCTTTTTGGGGAGAAAGCCCCTGCTGGGGTGCTTCCCAGTTTCATTCTCACCTCAGGCTCCTTCAGCAGAAGCCCAGATGTTTCCAGTCATTGTCTCTTCCCTGCCTGAGTCAGGAGCCCCTGGGACCTGCCTGCCCTGGGAGGTTCTCCTTTCCACTGGGGGCAGCTCCAGTGGGCCTTGAGGGTCTGGATGGGGGCTCTTGGCAGCCCTCAGTTCTGGGAAGTTGGTGTCATGGCTCCCCGACTGCAGGGGTTGAGGATGCCCGGCAGGCTCCTGGGCTTCCAGGCCTGGCTGAAATCCTGACCCGTTAGTGAGCGTTTATTAAATGCCTCCTGCCTGTGCACCAGGCACTTTGCTAGGCCCTGGGGTATGGAGACTAAGGAGGGGGCCTAGATCGGGGACTTCCCACATGAGGTTCGGTACCTTCTCTAACGCTGAGTCTGAGCTAAAGTCTGAGCCGCTTGTGCAGCGCCACCCAGCCAACAAGTCCTGGGGAGGGCCCTGCTTCTCGGCCCAGTAGAGGTGTACACCAGATAAAAGCCCAGTGTTTTGGTGGGAGGCCCAGCCGTCTGCCCCTCACTGACTGGGCAGGTGGCATAGCTCTTTGGGCCTTGTTCCCCTCCCTTGTGATCGTCTTGATGTGTCCTGCATCTGATCTCTCACCTCTCCCATGGACTCCTGAACAGCCCCTCCTTCGTCTCCTCGCTCTACCCAGCGGCCCAAGTGCTGAGGACCCCAGTGGCATCAAATGTAGGCTCCTGTTTGCCGCCTTGGCCTATTCCATCTTTCCACATCTTATGCTTTCCCTTCCCCGCTCCATCTCCACACTTTTGCACTAGCTGTGACCCACGCCTAGCGTGCTATCCCTTCAAGACTGTGTCATCTTCCACACAGCCCTTGTCCCGTCGCTATGGTGCCTTCTCTTCCTAAGCGGTACTTTGTGTCTACATATGTCCGTGTTGGTATTTATGTGTTTGTGCCATCTTCCACATTAGAATGTAAGCTCCGTGTGGGCAGGAACTCTCATTTTGGCTTTGTGGCCACAATGCTTGGTGCATAGGAGTACTTAATAAATGCTGGCTGGTTGGGTAAAGGAGGCTCAGGGGGTCTTAGAGGTAGACGTGAAGAGACAGGGAATTCTCTCTTGAAGGCAGCGCAGGGAAGGATGGGACGTGGAGGGCCCTGTTTGACTGGGAAGGACAGGAGGGTGGAAAAAGGCTGCCCAGGCAGGTGGGGGCCTGCGGTTGTGACAAGCGTTGCGTTTGGTGTAGAAGTATTAGGGAGCCCTGGGCGTCTAGTGGGGGACGTAGCTGATGTGGTCAGAGCCGTGCTTTAATTGACTGAGGGCCTGTCCTGTGGAAGGTTCCAACTCTGGCGCCTGCCCCGGCAGGGCTTACCGACAGTCAGCAAGGAGCAGGGCATTGCCTGGGAGGAGGCGTGGAGCTGGTTAAGGCTGTGGGTTTCCAGGGGCAGGGGGGAACAGCTGGCACATCATCGGAGCCTTGCTTTCAGGACAGTGATTGGAGCAGGAATTGAAAGACGGAGAGGGGGAGAAAGACAGAGGAAAGAGACAGGGACAGGGGGAGGGGAGAAGGAGGGAGGGAAAGAGGAGAC